TTTTGCTTTCTTAAATAATGACTTTTGTTAAATTCCACTGTACTTTCTTAAATATTGACGTTTTCCTGATGTTACACTCATCAAGAGCTTTCATTTGAGTACCCCACATGCATTTTTTGATATATTTTTCACATATACATATATATAATATATATAAATATATGAAAAGTTGATGTGGGTACTCAAATGAAAGGTCTCGATAAGTGTAATGTTGTAGTGAGCTTGTATCATTAAAAATGGCAATAGTTCACCAGATACGAGGTAATTTCTTGATTATGTATCTTAATAATATAAAAGGTAATAATATAAAAGGTAGCCTACCTTTATACACTGGAGCCAAGTTAACTGTCACTCAAAGCATGCTTTTGATTTTTACGATTCTTATAAATCACAGCGTTACTTTAGCTTGCATTGAAGAAATTATTCGCGTCATTAACTTGCATTGCCCAAGTAAAAATTTACAAAAAAATAGTTTGTATAAGTTTAAAAAATTTTTTTCTTTAAACAAAAATAAGAACAATATGAAGAAACATTATTACTGTTCTGTTTGTGATCGAGAGTTAAAATCAGTGGATCATCAATGCTCTTCTTGTAAAGGAAAAGAGAATTCTTACTTCGTTACTATGTCTATCATCAAACAATTAAAGGAAATGTTTAAACGAAGTAATTTTATAGGTTATTTAAAACATCGTTTCCAGAGAGTAATACCTGATGGGGTTATTGCTGATATTTACGATGGATCAGTGTACAGGTCACTGTGTAATAGAGGCTTCTTAAAGAGTTGGACAAATATATCTTTCAGTTGGTATACTGATGGAATACCAGTATTCAAGTCTTCACAAATCAGCATGACACCATTCTTTCTTACAATAAATGAGTTACCATTTTCAATAAGGAAGCTACGTGAAAACACTCTTATGTTAGGGTTATGGTTTGGTAAATCTAAACCTAATCCAAACCTATTTATGAAGAAATTCAGAACACAACTATCAAAAATTGCAAACGGATTCATTGTTAAAACACCAAATCAACTCGAACCTATAATCGTAACAAGTATGCTCATATCTGGAACCGCTGACACTCCAGCAAAATCTGATTTTTTGAACTTTGTCCGGTTCAATGGTGCTTTTGGTTGTGCGGCTTGTTGTATTAAAGGTTCAAGTGGAAAAACTAATAATGGGTCGACCCATGTTTATTCATATCAGGAAGCAATAGAATTAAGAACTACTAGAAACTGTATTACTTGGGCCAAGAAGTCAACAGAAGATATCTGATCATGGGCATCAAAGGAGTCACAGCTCTGTCAAATTATATGCCAGATTTTATAGAAGGGATGCCTATTGATAGGATGCATGGAGTCGATGGAGGTGTTGTGAAGAAATTGGCAAAATTGTGGTTTGATGTTGAGTATAAGAATGAAGGATTTTCTCTTTATGACGTAATTGACGTTGTAAACGATCGATTAATCTCGATAAAGTCTACAAAGTTCATTCATCGCAAAGTTCGATCGATTACCGAAATAATTCATTGGAAAACATCTGAGTTGCGAGTGTGGGCTTATTATTACTCTTTGCCAGTACTGGATGGAATCCTTCGTCAAGATTTATTCGAAAATTATAAGCTACTAATTACAGCATGTACTATTCTTAGTTTAAATGAAATAACACAAGAGTTGCTCAACATGGCTGAAGACTTCTTAAAACAATTTGTAAAAGATTTTCAAAAATTATACGGAACAAGATTTTGCTCAATAAATATACATCAATTGGTCCACTTAGCAGACTGCGTAAGAAGACTTGGACCTTTATGGGCAATACAATGCTACGAGTATGAAAATATAAACGGTCAAATATTGAATTCAATTCATGGAACCGACCGTATTGATACTCAGGTGGATAGTGCTCATAACAGATTTTTACGAAGAGTGAGATTTACAGAAACATTGCCAGAAGGAGATGTAAAAGATTTTTGCTTGAATCGTAAAAAACAGGTAAAAATTATTGAACGTATTGAAGAAAAAAGTTACAGTGTAGGAACATATAAATATTTGAATGAATTTCCGAATACTCTCAATAATTTATTACAAACAGAAAAAATCATGTGGCTGCCACAGGAATGTATCATGTGGCAGCCCCAATTTTTTTTTTTTGCGTGTAGAACTTCTTAGAGATATGTAAGTTCGAGCTTATTTCATAAGCTTTCACAACCATTATACGAAAATTGAATAAGTTAGGGCATTCAAAAGTTATTAGGAGAAAAACCAGGGAAAGTACACTGATAGAAGGATTTCTTAGTATTTAATAAAGATTTCTTAGTATATAATATATTTCTTAGTAATATTAAAAAATATTTAATTATTACAAAGTTATTAACAATCTCGTAGAGCACTAGAAAAAAATTTTCCCTCCATGGTCGGTTCGATAACTCAAAAACGGATCATCTGAAAATAAAAACCCAAATTGCTTTTTAATCAGTAAGGATGTAGTTATTGTCGCACGTACGGAATTAAAAAAATTTTTATTTTAAAGATTTTTTTAGCCGGGTTAAAACAAAAAAAAAAACAGTAAGAATAGTGAAAAAATTTTCACTATTCATCAGTCGCCATTTTTTTCAAAATTAAAATTTTCAAAATTCCGTATGTGCGACGATAACTACATCCTTACTGATTAAAAAGCAATTTGGGTTTTTATTTTCAGATCCGTTTTTGAGTTGTCGAACCGACCATGGAGGGGAAAATTTTTTCTAGTGCTCTACGAGATTGTTAATAACTTTGTAAATAATTAAATATTTTTTAACAAAAATTTAGGGTAATAATATTTAATTTACCCTTAATAAAATAAAATAAATCCGATCCCCAAATTCCTTTATTTTCCCTGTCAAAAAAATTCCCGAAAATCACCTCTTTTTTTCGATTGTTACAGTGGTGTTTCCCTTTAAGAAGTATTTCTTAAATACTAAGAAATATTTCTTAATTACTAAGAAATATTTTTTAAATACTAAGAAATTATGTTTAAGAAATGATTTCTTAAATACAAAGAATTTTTTTCAAATACTAAGAAATCCTTCTATCAGTGTATAAAATATTGAACTTTTGAAAATTTCAAATTTTTGCTGTTCTCCGTAAGTTAATAAAAAATTATCACAAAATGATTCTTTCATTTGAATATGTTCAAATTTATTTCTATTTATGTGAATAACATGTTGCAGAAAAACATTTTTATTTTTTGGAAAAACATTTTTTTTTCTTGAAAATTTAGACTTCAGAATGGTATTTCAATCTATCTTTCAATATTTTTGAAGCTTTTTGGAAGAAAATATTTTTTAGTAATGTTTTAAGGTACGTTATTTGCCCCCTCTCCCCTCCCCGTATTATTTATGTATATGAAATATAACGCAGCTTGTCAGCACGATAACGTCTACAATTCTTAAGGGGGAACACCACTGTGACGATCGAAAAAAACAGGTGATTTTCGGGAATTTTTTTGACAGGGAAAATGAAGGATTTGGGGATCGGATTTTTTTTATTTTATTAAGGGTACATTAAAGATTATTACTCTAAATCCTTATTAAAAAATATTTAATTATTACAAAGTTATTAACAATAATTTTTATTTTTTAAAAAATAGCGACTGATTGAAAATTTTCTCACTATTCTCACCTTTATTTTTTTGTTTTAACCTGGCTAAAAAAATCTTTAAAATAAAAATTTTTTAAATTCCGTACGTGCGACGATGACTACATCCTTACTGATTAAAAAGCAATTTAGGTTTTTATTTTCAGATGATCTGTTTTTGAGTTATCGAACCGACCGTGGAGGGGGGAAATTTTCTCCAGTGCTCGACGAGATTGTTAATAACTTTGTAATAATTAAATATTTTTTAATAAAAATTCAGGGTAATAATCATTAATGTATCCTTAATAAAATAAAAAAATCCGATCCCCAAATTCCTTTATTTTCCCTCTCAAAAAAATTCCCGAAAATCATCTCATTTTTTCGATCGTCACAGTGGTGTTCCCCCTTAAGAGATCTTAATGAAACTCAACATACTTATTCTATGGATGATTACGAAGAACAAGTTCAAATTTGAGTTGAATCGGACAATAAGTTTTAAAATTACAGCATTTCAAAATTTTGAAAATTCCATACTTGTACTGCTTTTCCTTCAAATAACTTTCGAACGTGTCGAGATATTTAAATTCTGTAAAATGCGCATCTGAAAGCTGAAAAAATAAGCTGCAATTTTCATGTTCACATATATTTCTAGACCAAAAAATATCTATTCTCGGTCCATTTCAATTAAATTTTACTATTGCAGTAGTTTTGTTTGGTTTGATGGTTGTAATTTAATATTAAATAAATACATTTTCAATAAGTTGATATTAGAATTCTACTTACTGAACTCACACTATTGTTGTAATAAAACCAGCAAATGTTTATTTTTAACAAAATTAGTTCTAAATAGTTTTAAATTATTTATTGAATTTTCTTTTAATCAATGAATTAAGTTATCTATTATTATTAATGTTATTTTATAAAAAATAAATTTTTGTATTTGAAAAATCTAATTCCATTCCAGCTGCCGAATGGCCTTCTTTTTAATGTGTACTAAATATTTCTCAAATTTATAAAATCTAAATTTTATAAGTATAAATATATAAAAATTTTTATCATGTGTGCATTGAAATTATTAACAATACAAGTATCGAAAAAGTAAAGTGATCTCATGCCATAAAACTAACCGAGGTCGTTACATGAAAACGACACTCAAATCGAGAGCCAAAGGAATGGAAGAGAAAATGAGGGGATGTATAAAGAGTTCTTAGTGTAACGAGTATCCACACATCGGTGTTAGAGCTGAGTGAGCGCAGAAATGCTAAAGGAAAATACGACTTAGAGGCGAAGCTGAGCGAAACGAATGAGGAGCTTTAAATTTCTACTTAAGGTTGGGGTCCTAAGCTAGTTTGAGATACTTTGGCTGGCACATCAAGAGACATGTAAATTATTATTAAAGCGTTAAATTCCAGTCCAAGAATTTTTTAGAAAGTGGATTTGCGGTATTTAATCAAAATAACAAGTTTTAACAAAAAGCATCACTATAGTTTAAGTTATGAAGAAATTTTTTTATTCAATTCCAGTATGTTACTACTCATGTATTACAAGACACTTAATGGTAAAACAAATGTTATTTTATAATTTGAGTACAAAACCAAAATGGTAAATAAAATGTTATTTTGTAATATGAGTACAAAACCAAAAAATATAGACTTTTTAATAAAAAGTTGAACGCTATAACTCCCTTTGAGAAATAAATACTTTTAATCCATTAAAAATGTTAGTTCTGTTAAAATAAGACTGTAAATTGGCGAAATTATATTTTGCAGTTTACTTCTTAAAAAATACGAAGTTGAGTTATTTTCAGATAAATATTTTATTGCATTTTCTTACTGAAGAAATATAACTTTTATAAATATAATGATAAAAGGTAATAAAAACATTCTGTAGAATTCACGTTGTTATATTGAAAAGTCCTATATTATTTAATATTAAAAATGCTCTGCTAAAACATTAACTTCAATTGACGTAATCAATAGAACAGTTAATTGAAATCAAATGGTTAAAAATTATTACTGTATTTATAAATCTATCAGTAAGGGTTTGTAAATCGATTTTTCATAAGATGGCATATATGGAGGGCAGAGGTAAAGAGCACACTCTCTGCGTAACAAAAAGTGCTCCCCGAATGACCTCGAATAAAGATGGCATTGCTGTACCAGAGGACCGTTTTTTAAAGAAATTTTTAAAAGCAGCTAAGACTGAGACAGTCAAATTAAAAAAGGAAAGATAAACAAAAAGAAGACTCCGGATGAAAAAATTATATATGAATCATATATCATTTGTATACGATAGTATATTGAGTAATTTTTTTGACAACTACTTTTTTTATTTTTTCGTCCTAAAATTTTGTTGGAAATATGTCAAAGAAAATAACTCTACTCTCCATAATGGTGTGTGAAATTAAATTGTTGAAACAAAAATAAATCATAATTCCTCTCCGTAAAATGGTAAAATGTGCAAATGATTTCTGAGTTAACAACTTATCGCACAGTATGAGAAGTAAGTAATGTTTAAGCGTAAGAAACTCAAAGAAGAGAAAAGTGAACAACGAACTGAATAGTTGTTGCATATTTTAGCTTCAACGCCATCGGACAAATGCAGGGCCGTCGGTTATAAAATTTTTTCTCTTATTCTATAATCTTCTATTCAATAAAGATAAAACGCTGTTCATTGGTACTTAAGCGCATAACTTGACAATAGTTGACCGATGGGGCTGTTTTTTCTTTGTAATATGTTCGTACAAGTCCAAATTATGTTTTTATAAACAAAAAAAAATTTGAAAATTACCCGGAAAATTAAAAAATTCCGGAAAAACTATACGGAAAAAAATAAACAGCACTGATTACTATTTTGTACAGTACTCAGTAGTGTTTTAAAAGAAAATGAGATTAAAATTCTTGGAACAGTAGAGAGCACTTTATAACAACTATTGGGTACTATCTGCAAACTACTGAGTCGTGTTCTGGCACTAAACAGTCATGTCTCGTATAGCACTCTTTACTGTCTATAAACATTTTTCTAATTTCTGTACACGGAAAAAAAGAAAAAAGGAAACATTACATTATAAATAGGAATAAGTGTCATTTCAAATTAAAAACTAGAGAAATTGCAATTCGAAAGACCATTTCAAAAATGCAAATATTGAATGTTAATTTTCACAGCTTTAAATATAATATTTACATTTTACAATCTAATTCTTACAAAACCTGTAAATATTCTTACAAAAACTGTAATTTTTTCAGTTTTTTATGTGAAGTGCCACGTTACGTTATATGTATAATGTAATTTTTGTCATATATACCGCGAAATTTGGATTTTCGAGCAACATACAGAGGGCGCAAATTTGCTATGGCAAAATATGCAAATGTTACCTTTGAACGGCTTGACCGATTTCATCGCGGTTGATGCTATTCGAAAGGGCTTGACCAAACTAAGATTTTGAATATCATTTGGACCGATTCGAACCAGTAGATTTTGAGAAATCTAAAAAAACTACCAAAAAAAAATTTTTTAAATGTGGTTTTTTTGGAATTACTTTTAAATGGCTTCACCGATCAATTCCAAAATCTAATCAGCTCTTAGGATCAAAAAACTACGTCGATCACCACAAACCCGGTCAAAATCGGTTGATTCGTTCGTGAGTTATCGTTGTCGAAAGAAAACCGAAACAAGTGTTTTTTCGGAATTACTTCAAAATTCCTGGCTCGGTCGATTTAAACTTGAAGATTCTTTATGGGGCTTAAAAAAGTGCGTCAAATTCTGCCAACCGCGTAAAAATCGCTTCATTTATTCAAAAGTTATTGCAGTTCGAAAATTCAAAAAATGGTGTTTTATTAAACTTCAATCAGACTTTTGAGCTCGGAGAGCTCAAAATGACATGAAAATTATATTTTGAGCTCGAAGAGCTCAAAAACGTACTAAGTGCAATTTTGAGCGCTTAAGTATGGACCCTGAATAAAAAAAAGTATTGGAACAAAGAAAAAAGTATTGGATTGACTAGAAAACCAATACTTCGCAATATTTTTAACTTCCCGCTAAGAAAATCGAAGATCTCGACGTTTGAAGGTCACAGGATGAAGCTTCCCTGACTATCTCCGCGAGGTTGTCACTATGTCTGTATGTATGTATGTATGTATCCCGGGAAAAAAAGTTTAGATCTGCTCTGATCAAATTTGATCTGAGCAGATCAGATTTGATCTGATCAGATCAGATTTGATCTAAATTTAGATCTAAGTAGATATGGACAGATCTAATTTGATCTGCTTAGATCAAATCAGATCAAGTTTGATCAAAATGAAATTA